AAATAAAATAAATAAATACTAAAATTCTTAAGTCTGCCCTTATGGGGAGGTGTAGTGCTTTCCCAAATGACAAACTACATCTTTAAAAAAATAAACAGATATATAAGTTAGTTACAGGGCATTACAAAACACAAGTCAGTATAAGTAATTAAAAAAAAAAAGACAAGACACATTCAGATGACCCAACTCCCATCCCTTCTGTAGCCCGAGACAGTTGCTGTTAGCATTATGGGATATGGCTTCTGGGCTATTATTACCTTCTCAAATTATTTTATCAACCACTTTTCTCCACTGACAGCATTGGGAACATTTTTTAAATCATATATATCGACCTTACTATTTTTAATGGTCACACATTATATATATTATATGGAAGTATAATATGTTATATGTATTATATGGAAGTACTATAATTCATTTAATAAATCCTCTCTTGTTGTAATTTGGGGGGTTTGGATCTAACTTAAATAGTATTTCAGTGCATATTATTATACATACATCTTTTCATATTCATCTAGTTGTTTAAGTTCCTGAATATGGAACTGATTGTTTAAAGGGTAGTCATGCCACCTGTGCCATCCTTCTATTCATCCACCCAGCCATCTGTCTTCCCATTCACTCTTTCTTTCCTTCTTTTCTCTCATCCATTCAACTACCAGTTTATCCATCTACCCATCCATTCATCCATCCACACACTCACCTCTTCACCTTATAGGTTCACTTATCCATCAATACATTCACCGACCCATCTGTCCACCCACCATTCACCCATCCTCCTATCCATCCACCCACCCAGTGGCTCATCCATCTACCCTCCTGTCCACTTATCTGTCCAGCCACCCCTTCATTTACCCATTGACTCACATATCCATCCTTCCATCCATCTATTCATCTGTCTACCGACCCATTCATCTATCCACCACTCATCCATTCATCCATTGACCTACCCATCCAAATATCCATCTACCTACCATCCACCCACTCATCCATATTGCATCAAGGACCTGCTGAATCAGGCCTGAGTGGCCCTGGGTAGCAGATTAGAATGAGTCCTTGGTCTTCATTCTCAGAACTTACACTCAGCTAGGCAAGGCAGGAAGTCAGGAAACCATCACCAGCAGATAAGCAGCAGAAAGACTGAGCTGCTGCAGGAAGCAGAGGTAGGGCTTCCAAGGAGACATGACCTCTGAGCCACAAGCCAAGTGGGACTGGGGCCAAAGATAGTCCATTCTCTAGACAATGCACATCAGCCAGCTCTGGTAGCTAGGGCTCCTTTCTGGGCACTTGGCTGAAGAGAGCTGGCCATATGCACCCCAAACACACAGGTCCCCAGGCCCCTGGCTTAAAGGCTGGTCCAGGGCACAGAGAGAGAAAAACAGAGACAGGGAGGGAGAGAGAAGAAGGGGGTGCAGCACTGTACCCCAGGGAAGACCAGGCCTGTAGAGAACTGAGGGCAGGGCTGGAAGCCTGGTGACATTACTTCCCAGCTTCCCAACCTAAGCAAAGTTACTTGGTATCTCTGGTTTCCCTCCCTGGAAAACGGAGGTGATTATAGTTTGATCTCACAGGGACAGGTGAGGATGAAACAAGGGATAGACCAAAGGCCCTTGGCCCAGACAGGAAGCGGCAGCTGCTGTAGCGTCTTCATATTTCATTTCTTTTGCCAAGCCTGAGTGCTGGGGGCCTCGTGTCCCCCAACTTTGCACATTCCCTAATGTAGAGAGGTGCTAAGGCCATATTTGTTGACAGGTGTCAGGTGGGGGCCCAAATATGGGACTGTTGATGATTTAAACCTTCCAGAGGTGATTTCAATGCCATCTGATGTTCTTGAGTGCTAAGAGAGAGGAAGGAATTGAGTCTTGTTTCAAAGGATGCAGCAGGTGGGAAATTTCGGAGGCTGTGCCTCACAGTGCATGGGCAGAGCTGACTGGAGCTGGGGCACACATGCTTGGCCTGAAGATAGTCTTTGTTCAAGCTGAAGGCCATTAGGGCACTGAAGTTTCTTCCAGAGGAAAATGGGTCCTCCAGGCCTTTTTGGTAAGCAAGGCAGGCTCTGTGGGCTCTGCTCTTCAGAGGTGAGATTTCTTCTTCTTCCCTCTCCCCAGGCCACTTCTCTGCTGGCCGCTTACCCGTGGAATTGAGGGGATACCTTTGTGGTCAGTGGATAAGCCCTGTGAGGGTTATTTTAGAGGTCCTCAGAGGAGGTGCTGCTGTAAGCAGGACCAAGCCCAGGCAGGACAGATGCACCTGGGTGCGAGGGAGAATCTGCTCTGATTGATGCCAAGGACTCAACCTCCCTGTTTGGGAACCTACATCTCTCAGGAAAAGGCTTCAGCCGACCCCTGCCTTTGCTCAGGCCCAAGTAGAAGCCCGACAAGATGAGAAGATGCAATCACTTTTATCTGCCCTCCCTTGTTGGGGAGTTCTGTCATGGCCCAGTTTGTGATTGCAGAAACATGGGGACATTCGAAACGTCCTGGGCAGGAGTGGATAAAGGACTGAGGTGTGTTCATACACAGAGCACCAGGCAGTGGGAAGAGGAGCTCACCAGAGTTGCATTTTCACTTAGATGCGTTTCAGAAAACATGTCAAGAGAGGGAGTAGGGTTGCAAAAACGTACCTTTGTGTTAGTGAGAAAGATATGAGATAGCAGTGGCCCCTTTTGGGGGCTGTGTACCCATGAAGTGTGATGTGGAATGTGTTGGGGGAAAGTGGCACCTCGCCTCTCACCCTGTCCAGGGGTTGGAGCTGTCTGCTCAGGTCCAGGAGAGAAACGGTCACAGCTGTCCAAGTGGGGAGAGTGTGGGTACACAGAGCCTGCTTGTTTAGTTATGGCATTTTTTTTTTTTTTTGAGACAGAGCCTCAAGCTGTCCCCCTGGGTAGAGTGCCGTGGCATTACAGCTCACAGCAACCTCCAACTCCTGGGCTCAAGCGAGTCTCCTACCTCAGCCTCCCAAGTAGCTGGGACCACAGGCGCCCGCCACAACGCCCGGCTATTTTTTGGTTGCAGCCGTCATTGTTGTTTGGCGGGTCCGGGCTGGGGATTCGAACCCGCCACCTTAGGTGTACGTGGCTGGCACCTTAGCCGGTTGAGCTATAGGCACCGAGCCGTTATGGCATTTTTTGAAATATTTGACCATCATAAGTTGAAATATTTTTAAAAGAAGGAGGAATTGTAAAATCATCTCTTAAAGATCTTTCATTCTGAAAACTTTTATTTTGTGGTTTTGAAGAAATGCAATTTAAAAACAGTGCCAGGGTGACCCCCACAGGCACTCAACACAAGATGCTATCATCAAGAAGCACGCCTGCCAGAGGTCCAGATGCCAGGCAGGGCTTGGGGGCAGCTGGGCCAGGCCCTGAGGAGGGGAGGGGAGGGTCCCAAAGACCTGCCCACCGACCCCTCCAGGTACTGCCGTCTTCCCTGAGAGAACGCAGCAGATAGGAAGCTGAGTTTAGTGAAGTTGGGAACTAGAACTCAGAAAAGAAGCATTTTTTAAAAAAACAGAAAACAAGCACTATTTTGAGTTACCTATTTATATATTCTGGCCCCCGGAGACAGGAGGGTACAGCACTGTCTGGATCTTTGATTTTGTGTTTCCTTCCAGGTGGCTAAGCAGACCCCGGGTGTCAGTGAGCACCTGTGGTTCCTCTGAGCCTCACCTCGAAGTCAGCTGCAACTTGGACTATCCTAGTGTGATACATTCCCTTATCTGGGGTCTCCAGCCTCCCTGTCAGAGCTTCTTGTCAGAGCTGTCAGGGGCATCTGGTCCCCAGTGGTAGTTGTTGCATTTCAGGAATGTGATGTGGATGTCCCTGATACCAGGGTCCTGGTTGCAGTCTCGACATGTTTAAGGACTCTGGGGCAAGTGTACCTCTCCTTGCCGACCCACAGGTGCCAGCTAGAGGAGCACCATCTCCTCCTGAGTCCCCTTGGATCCTGTTTGCATGGCCCATTTCACATCCAAATTTAGAACATTGAATGGCTGGGCTGCCCAGCTACCACAGCCTCCAAGCTCAGGTCATGGCCTGTGCTTTCCACAGGAGACTTGGAACCCACATCTCATTTCTGCATCAAGAGTCCCAGGACACTTATTTGAGGAAAAATGCTCTCCTTGAAAGAAAAAAAGAAAAACCCACAAAAAACACATGGTCAAGATTGGTTGTTGTATTATAGTAGAACTGTACTTGCTAACATGAGATATGTTCACAATCTATTGTTACTTTTTTTTTTAAGCAATCCTGGCCTGACTCTCCAGTGTTCCTTTGTGAGAGTATCTCTGCATTTCTGCAAACTGCAGGCAGGAACTCAATCATAAAAGAAATCCTTCTCAGAGCCATTCTCCCTAGGAGAGCAATTGAGACGAACTGCCATGTCTGAGCGTGGAGAGCTGATCTCTACACCCAAGGCAGTGTGTATAGTAGGATCCCATTTTTGTAAAAACCAAAACAGCAGACACATTTATGCACAGAACAGAAGTGGATCAGGAAGACTGTGTGCCCTTGCGGCAGTTATCTCTGGGCAGCAGGGTTATAACGAATTTTAATTTTCATTTTTAACTGTCATAGCTTTTCTTATTTTTCCTGACAACTGTGAATTGATTTAAACAAGACTATAAGTCAGTGAGCACACAGCTTGAGTTTTTATGTGTGAAGTTAAGGGAGGCTTTGCAGTGTTAGGACCTCCTGTAGTCACCAACACGTTGTCTTTGTCTTTCAGTGACATATTCGATGCCATGTTCCCTGTCACTCACATCGCTGGGGAGACAGTTATACAGCAAGGTATGTTCTGCCTTCTCCTCTGAGCCAAAGCCCAAAGGAAAGAATGGGCTATCGCCTAAAAACATACATTGTATAAAACCTTCGTTATCTATCCTGTAGAAAATCGACTAATGAAATTTAAGAAAAGTTTGTTGAACAAGCTAGCTTACTGTGTTCCATCATCTTCCTGTCATTACAAGAAATTTAGGTGACCCAGCGTTATCAATCCTTAACAGTATGTAAGAGAGTGTTGCAAAAATTGTTTGCAAGAAAAAAAGAGCCATTCTAACTTATGTTATGTGTCTTGATGTACATTGTATCATACATCTGTTGTTTTTTTTCTTTCGTTTTAGGGAACGAAGGAGATAATTTCTATGTAATTGACCAAGGAGAAGTGGACGTGAGTATTGGTGCATCTGTGGGAGGCTTTACAGTCTGCGTAGCCTGGGCCGCTACTGAGCTCAGGTCTACAGACACCTTTCTGAGTGATGTGTTTCTAATGTTTTAGAAGAGAGAAGTAGCACATCCCATTTAAAGGACAATATCAAAAGTGCAATTTGGAATAAGGGCAGGTGCTGGCTGCCTTGCTGCCATTGTTTGCTGGCCCTTGGCTGAGATTGCAGGGTGCTCTGAGTGGTCCTGTTAGCCTCAGCTGTGTGAATACACTGACCACACGAGGTGCTAATGTTCATGTTTGTAGTTCCCAAAGTACTGACATTATAGACCAGTGGTACTCAACCCATAGGTCACAACCCACAGGCACTGTATTAAAGGTTTGCGGCATTAGGAAGGTTGAAAACCACTGTTAGAGAACCATGGTTGAGAACAATGTTATACCTTTGTGCCCAGAGTTCTGCTCTGTTTTCATCGACCTGTGAGCTTGAGGCTCCCAGAACATTACTTTCTCCCATATTCACCTGTCTCAAGAGTGGAGAGACATTCAGTTTCATCCAGATGCTCATCCTACTTTGGAAGAAGCATTCTTCCCTTCTCAGGGGACCCTACCTTGGGTCCCAGGGTCAGAGCCCAGCTGCTCTGGAGTGAAAGGCTGTGGGTGCTCTCCCCCAACCTGCCCCCCACCCCAACCCCTCCCTGGACTCCTGCCCTGCACTCAGCAGCCAGGGGACCTTGTTTATGTGGGGCTAATGGTACCATCTCTCACTAAAACCCTCAGTGGGTTTGTTTCTCTCTAAATCAGGCCTGAGCCTCTGGCATGATGGGCAGGGAAGGGCCTGAGTAACGCTGTTGTTCCTGGCTCCTGGAATCTGCCTGGCACTTGCAGCCCTGGGGCCTTTGTCTGTGCCGGGACCCCTGCCACCCCTTTGGCATAATCATCGTGAGCTCCTGCTTCTCCTTGATCTCAGCTAAATGCCACTTGGTTGTCAGTGGGCACTTCCCATTGCCCGTGTTTACTCTGTAGGGTGCACTGCAGTTTACAGTTAGAGGAGGCACTTGTTCCTGTGACCGTTTCTCTGTGATGGGCTAGAAGCCCCAGTGTGCAGGAACTGAGACTGACCAGGGCATTTCAGGGTCTGTGAAGGCCCAGACACTTGCTTGGGCTGGCCCAAGTCACTTTGGGTCTGGGAGGCTGGCACAAGGCTGTACACCCTTCCCGGTGCCCCTGTGCAGGAAGGGCCCTGGCACTGGCTCTCCACTATCCAGGTGCCACCACCCCCAGCTGCCATGGAAAGCTATTTCAGGGCCTGGCCTCTGCTCTCTGTGCCTCTGTCCAATCCATCCAGGCTATTTTGGGGCGGGCATTTACTCATTTATTCCCCAGCAGCTCGTCTGCATCCCCTCTGCCGCCGTGTTTCTGGGAACCCGAGCAGACCCACTTGGCTTCCGGAGCTGCCTGCACAGGAAATGACTCACGGTTCCCACCTCCCGCAAGAGGCACGCACAATCGCCTCAAGGCCCAGCCGACTCGGGCAGAGAAAGTCCAGGTTTCTCTTTGTCACAGTGTGCTCTACTCTGAGCTGGAACCCATGGGCTTAGTCCCTGGACTGGGCTCTGGACAGATCTTCACGTAGGGGCTTGCGGGTTCTCCTGCCCCCTCCAAAGAAGGAAACTGAGGCAGGAGCTAAAGTCCCCAGGGGCTGCCCCTGCCACAGAGGAAGTGTGTGGAGGAAGGATGGCTGGAAGGCGGGGCAGCAGTTCTGACCCTGGGCTCAGCTGCCCGACTGGCCACAGAGTCATCTCCTGCTGGCTTCGCCCTGGTTTATAAAAAAATACCCAGACCAGGAAATAGAGAAGACAGAGGAGGATGCAGCCAGCGTCCTGGCTGGGGTTGTCCAAGGAGGCGGCCTTGCTGTGCCCAGTATGGATACCCAGGCCTGATTGTGGGGCAGGGCTCAGAGTCAGACTCAACCCCCAATGGACAGGGCAGGGATGACCCTGGAGAGGGCCCAGGACCCTTGCCTGCCCCGTGCTGGGCCACGCTGAGGGGTGGGACACCTAGGGCAGTTGGGGGCTGCTTGTCCTCAGACCACATTCACAGCTCAGTCCAGAATCCCATCCTATTCACAGCTCCTTTTCCACTTCACACTCTCAGCTCCCAGTTGATCATGATTCTGGAATCTTCTTATCTTCTCCTTCCAAGGTGGAGTGCTGGTGTGTGCATGGCATTGCCAGGCCCTGAGTGAATCCTCACCAAGGGCATGACACAGCCCTGCCATGGGATTGGGGGCTACAGCTTAATGGGGGAGATGCCAGAGGAGCAGAAAGTTAGCAGAGGAGTGTCTTAGTGGCCTCCTGTCCTCCCTGACCCCTATACATCCTTCCATACCCCACAGGACTCAGCTTCTCTGTCTGCTGCTGGGCTTTGATAAACACTGAACGCAGCTGGTGACTGAGCTCTGGAACCTCCACAGCCAGCCCAGGATCCCTTGTGGGTCTTGGCTTAGGCCTTTCCTTCCCCCTCTTCTGTGTCCACAAAATCATACAAATCCAATTCGCTTCTAAAGACATCTTCCAAGTACCAATTTGTACCATAAGAGCTTAGAGAAGAAATGAAGGAGCTGAGACAACCCCAGGGAGCCTCAAATCACACATACTTTGTTTTATTGAATGAGCAGGTGCAGAAAAGGGCTAGCCCTTTGCTCTGCATCTCTTGTGGTGCCCACAGGGCCCAACACAGGGGCCAGGAGCTGCTCCTTCCTGACCCATGTGGGAAGGACGGTGGAGGGGTCAAAGCACCAGGTGTGTGCAGGGGTCTTGGGCTTTATCCTTTGGCAGGTTTCCTGGGCCCAGGTTCTTGGTGGTTACAGACAGGGGGAAGAGTAAATGAGATAATTATCATAAAGTAGTGTCTGCAGCACTGGTATGGGGAAGGGGGGCTCTGTCTGCTATTTCTCTGCCCCCCGTTCCAGCGAAGGCACTTGCCACCTCCCAGCCACATTGAACTCCCCCACCCCATCTTGTGTCCCCAGCCTATACACCACAAAGAACTTCTTCCCCAGCAGAGGAAATGGCTCTGTCTATGCCCTAGACCCAGTCTAATCCCAAGGAGGGGGTGGGGACATGAGAGGCAACTATTGCCATGCCTGGGGGACTGTCCTCTAGGCAGGAGCAGGTTGGATGCTGTCTTGGCTGGCCTGGCACACACAGGCCGTGCTGCCAGCAGTCCCTGTTTCTCTAGAAGGCACTACCCACCCACTCTCATCTCTTGTCCCTCTACCTTCCCCACTGGATGTCACCCCTGCTGCAGACTGTGTAGCACCAGTGCTGTTTCCATGACCCTAGTTCACAAGAGTGAGGTGGAGGAGGGCTGACCACCCCCAGTCATCAGCCTTTGGTGGCTGTCACTGTGTGAAGCCCTGGGTGCTGGATTGTGGGGTTAGGACTGCAGTCTGCATGGGGCAGTCATCCAGCCTTTCCGCAGACTGCACTGATATGGCTCCACGAACAGGGCTGTGGCCGGTCTCCCTCCAGGTCAGGGATGGGAGGCAATTTGTGAAGAGTGAAGTCACCACCATAGGACTGGAGTCCCCGAAATACATTGTTCAGGCAGATCAAGGCTCCCCTACCCCTGCCTGCCCTAGGTTCAGGTACAAAGGCAGCCTTAAGCCCCTGGCTGTACCCCAGCTCTAGCAAGCTGGGATGTCGGGCCTCCATGGGCAAGTGTCTATTCTGACGACAGCCTCACATTTTGGACAGTTGGGCCTCAAGTTCCCAGTGGGATAGGCTGTGACTTATGGGGTCATCCCATTGTGGGTGTGCCAGGCCCTCACTGCCCCACCGTAGTGTGAATGCCAAGCACCTTCATCAATCTCCTCAGATGTTCCAGCCGGATGGGGTGGGCGGCAGGGAGTGCCTGGCAGGGCTGGGCGTGGTAGGCACAGGAGCCGCGTGGAGGGAGAGCTCCTGTGATGTGGGCGGCCCTTCGTGTGCAGGGTAAACACGAGGGGCAGTGTGGGTGAAGGCCACATTTAAAGGAATCAAAAGATGCTCAGTAAGGAATCTGGAAGGAAAGTGGCATGTTGGGCAGCGGGGGTGAGTTATGGGGACATATATTATAATAATTACTGTGATTACTGCTCGGGGTAGAATCACGGCAGTCCCAGGCAGCCCCGCCAGGCCTGAGTCTGAGAGCCCCACAGGCTGCAGTTTGTTTGCTCATTTTCTGTAAACTGCCTTCCCTGGGGCCCAGGAAGCATGGTAAGCATGGTGCTTCAAGGCTAAAGTGATACTAGTTTATTGGGGGGTGGAGGGAAGAGAGGGACAGTCACTGTGGGCACTACATCAGATGTCCAAGGACCAGTGGAGGCTGCCTCCCTCTGTTACCCTGACAGCCTCTTAAACAGGTGGGCCTGGGAGTGGGCTTCCTAGGCACACTCCCCTCCTGCGGGGTGGACAGCTACTCTTTGACCAGTGGCACCCCAGGGCAATGGCCAGATGACCAGATGCCAAGAGCACCAGGTTTGGTTTAAATTATGGTTTTCCAGAGGCTCTGAAAGTGCCTGCCACAGTATGCATGCTGCCAGGAGCTATAATCCATTTTTCTAAGTATAAAAATATCTTCCAATTTATTTTATTCATGGAACATAGCATTTCTACTTAAAAGGACATCAGCCGTGGACTTTCCATTTCAAGCCCTGCTTGAGGCCTGACCCTTCCCCCCCATTGTTTCCAGGCCTTTGTTATTTGAGGACTACCTCCTGTGCACCCTTCTCCAGCCCTCCTGTCTCTACTGGGCTCCACACACAATGTCAGGAGACTCCAATTTGAGCAAGTGAGGTCCTACCTGCAGGCATCTTGATGTCCCCCACTGGGAGCACGGCACCGTGGGGGACGTGTTTTAACTGCGGCAAACCCACACTAACATGTATCATTCTAACCATCGTTAAGTTCAGGGGCATTAAGCACATGCATTGTTGTGTAGCTGCCACCACCATCATCTCCAGAACATTCCCGAACTAAAGCTCTGTCCCAGCCCGTCCCCATCCTCTGACAGCCCCATCCTACTTCTGTCTCTGTGACCTCGAGTGAATGGAATCACACAGTATTTGTCTTTTTGTGTCTGGCTTATTTTACTGAGTGTAATGTCCTCGAGTTCCGTCCATGTTGTAGTATGTCAGAATTGTCTTCCTTTTTAAAGTGGAGTGACGTTCCATGGGGTGTAGATACCACCTTTTGTTTCTCCATCATCCATTGGTAGACACTTGAGTTGCTTCTACGTACTGCTGTTGGGATTGTATCAGTTGCTTTCAGGGTATTGTGTCACCTGCTTTCACAGTGTTGGGTACTGTATGACCTGTGGCCCAGAGCTGGATGGGAAGGTTTTCTCAGCATCTGGGAAGCTACCAGCTCATTTTACTGATGACATGAGTCCAGGGACCTCACCCAGCCCTTTGTGTTCTCTGCTGAGGTCCTTGGTGGCCTGGCTTGGGGTTGCAGGTCATTGGATACAGCCTGGTAGGGCCCGTGCCCTGGAACTGGGGCATGTGGGCCTCTCTCCATGCACAGCCACATGATGATGTTAGGGGAGGTTGGTGGGGCAAGCCCTGGCTGGCAGATCTCATAGCTGCACTTAGGCAGACACCATGGCCTCCATTTTGGGGAGGAGCAACTGAATTTAAGGAGGGTTAATTGGGAGGTCAGCAGCAAACTCGAGATTTAAGTTCAGGGTCTTTACTAAATCCTGTCTTCTGGGGCCCTGTTCTGCCTGAGTTCTGGGGGGCCAGGGCCACAGTGGATTGGGTGGCACAGGCAGAGGTTTGTGGTACCTGCCACCCATGAGAATGGTCCAGGTATGGCCTATGGAAACCTCTGAAAGTGGTGGTACCAGCAGCAGGGGACAGATACCTCACACACCGTGGGCTGACATGGCTGCAGCAGGGGCTGAGGTCACAGCTTGGCAAGTATAACATGAAGAGAAGCAGGGGAGGCAGGTGCCAGGCAGTAGGCACCTATGGGTGGCAGTGGGGAAGCTGGCCTCCTGGGCCTGTGCTGACCTCGCTGCTCTCAGTGGGAGCCTGGGCAGACTTGGGGGTTTAGGGTGGGTTGGGGTCTACCTACCTCATCAAGCACAGCAACAACCTGATTAGGCTAAAGCCACCTCTGTGGCCAGCCCCCAGGCAGGTGGGTGATCTCACTTGTTCCTGGGGATCCCTGCACTGTGGACTCCTGTGGCCCTCAGGTCCCCACTGCTGTTGTGCAGATACTGGCACTTCCCCCTGTATCTCCCATCTCCATAGTGTCCCCTGCAATCTGAACTACACTGCTCAAACTCCAGAGCGTCATCTGTTGAAATACAGATTTGAGGAGCTGGGTGGGTCCAAGAATCTGCATTTCTAGCTGGCTCCGATACCAGTGTAGCTGATCCACCGGCCTCAGGTTGAGCCCCAAGGTGGGAGACCCCAGGCCTCTGAACCCTCCCTGTTCCCCTCTGGATGCTCCAGTTGTTCCCCACCTGCCACCAGTAGGTTTTCCACTGCCGTTAGGGTAAACGCTGAGTTCCTTTCCTTTTCCCAGTCCTTCAAGCCTTTCCTCCTCTCCTGTCCCGTTTGGCATCTTCCCTACCCCCATCTTCAGGCTGTATCTAGTGCCCCCCAATTCTACCCTGCCATGGGGCCTTGGCATGTGCTGTCCAGCTCTCTTCCAACACATTTTCCTTGTAAGGCTTAAATCCGACCAGGAGAGGGGAA